GAAGGGGGCCTATAGGGATGCTGGGGAGGGACTCTTCATTAGGGACTGTAGTGACAGGACAAGGGGTAACAGGTTAAAACTTAAACAGGGGAAGTTTAGATTGGATGTAAGGAGGAAATTCTTTCCTGTGAGGGTGCTGAGGCACTGGAATGGGTTGCCCAGGGAGGTTGTGAATGCTCCATCCCTGGCAGTGTTCAAGGCCAGGTTGGACGAAGCCTTGGGTGAGATGGTTTAGTGTGAGGTGTCCCTGCCCATGGCAGGGGGGTTGGAAATTGATGATCTTAAGGTCCTTTCCAACCCAAACTATTCTATGATTCTATGGTTCTATTTATACTGACAACTGTGCCCTGCCTTTAGCACTTAAGCCTGCTCTCCACAGGTTTCACACCAGATACTGTGCCTCTCCCTACCCACTAACCACTGACAAAAGGTGCTGTGCCATGCAGAGAAGGCAGGTAGAGTATTAATGGCAGAGCACAGACAGTGCACTTTTGAAGTGTCCTTGCTTACGGGCATTGAAACCTGCACATTGAGGACCAGAGGTGCTTGTGTGGCCATGGGGAGCTGCAGCTGTTGGGGTGGCATTTGGAGCATGCAGAGGGAGCTATAAACAGCACGCCTGGGCGGTGTGAGAGGAGTGCAGGCAATCCACACACTGCATTTGTTCTGACCAGCTCTGGCTGGGTCAGAGCCTCTGCTTTAAGACATCTTTTCTACCCCAGTAAATTGGCTCTGTCTCCTGAACATCAAAGGGAAAAGCCAATTCTAAAACCACTGTCGTGATGGGGAAGGGAAGGAAAATCACAATGAATGCAACCTTTTCTGCTCTAGGGTGCTTAGAGAAAGGCCAGGATAAAACATCCCTCTCTGAAAACAGCTCTAGCTGGATAAAACCCAGACCCCCAGCAATGGGGAACACTCACATACAATTCTGACATGCTTTGTGGAGCTGCATCATAATGCATCCTACAGAGGCTTATTAGGACCCAAGTGGGGGCACATCAGTGCACTATCTCTATACATATCGGGTAAGTGTCCTACCCAGGACTGGCACACATCCAGCCATGCTCACCACTCCTCAGATTGCCTATAGATAAAAGCCTGTATAGCCCAGACCAGCAGAGGTTTGAGTTACAGTGGAAAATACATTAGATATGTCAAAATGTCTGTAGTTAAACCCAAGGGAACGCTGCCCAAACACATAGCTGTAAGATCATCCAATAAGCGGGTGCCTCGAGGCATCGCATAGGAACGTCTCTATTGCAAGGCTGTCAGTGATATTTAATTTGAGGGTAGTCAGTCTCCCCACGCACACACTGCTCTGGGGGATTCAGTGTGCGGAGAGCAAGCAGGCACCTCTGCTAAGCCACTTTCAGAGCTTAACACTGGCAGATGATTGAGGACCTGTGCCAGCAATGCCACTTTGGTTACTCAATAACACGGTTCCACGTTACTCAAGCCCATCCGCTAACCTTTTCCATCACACTTGCTCAATCTCCTTGAAGTCTACAGAGATGTGCCAGCGTAATTTAGACGAGTACTTGCCTAACATCATTGAGATAATATGGATTTACACCAAGATACTCACGATAAGCCTCTGGCTCAGTGAGAACATCATCTCTTTAGCAGAACAACCAGTAACAGCAGGAGAGAGGTTAAATGTGTCCTTTGGTCCAAACGCAGCCCTCCCGTAACTCTGCATTGCTCCTCTGAAGCCAGAGGAACCATCCCAAGCCAAGTGTGGGGCTGGAGCAGTGCACTGTCAAAGGTGGAGGCAGCCCAACAGTCGCTGCTCTCAGAGAGCCTTGGTTCAGTTCAATCACTCAGACCTGGCTGAGCCTACCAGTGAGGCCGGTTTCAGACAGGTTTGAGGGAGTGCAATCAGCCACACTTGGCTGAGCCCCTCCGTGTTTACCACCCACCTGGAGACCTCAGTGGTGAGAAGATAGGAAGGGCTCGGGGAGCCTCCCTGCGCACGCTCCCCTGCCTCTGGACCACAGGCAAGCTCCGACACCTTCTGGCAATGGCACCTCCGCGTGATTTAAACCTCCCCAGGCCTTGCTTCTGTTGGCAGATGATTGCTATTTACTTGCAATCGTGCCCATTGCACTGCACTGAGGATCTCCCAGAGGAAGAGCACTATTACCAGCAATGGGCACCACCACCTTCAAACATGCAGATGCAGAGAACCATCCTTGCCCGCCTGTCTGCTCAGTGTCCTCTCTTTCAGCATCTTATCCTCAGCCAGCCTCTGACAACCAGAGCTAAACCACTCTTTGGGACAGGCCTGCCAGGCTACCTGGAGCTGCTCTCTCTCCCCAAATCCATAGCACTGCCAAGCTCCCTCCTTATTCCAAGCTCCCTGTGACATGAACTCAGCTTCTTCACACAGGAGTGGGAATGTGTGCTGGATTTCCTTCCAGAAGTGAGAAGTTCCTTCCTGAACAATGAATCCACCATAAGAATTAACTCTCACTGTCAAAACTACCCTAGACAGCAACTTGCCAGAGAAGATACGTAGTTTGAAGGCAGGTCCATTCATTTTCACCCCCAGACCATTTGTTACCTGTGTTCCTCCATTCAGAAATCCCTTTGGAAAAAAGAAAGACCAAACCACTGCTCATCTGTCCCCGAGTTTGATGCGGTATAAATTGAAATGTCACTTCAGAGGCCCCTGACAAGGCACTTCAGGAAGAAGGGCCCCAGCACTTGTGGCCTTTGCGCCAGCTGCTTTCCCATTTTGGGAAGGGTTTAGGATGTCTGGAATAAGCCGGTCTCTTCCCACCAGCCTGCATTCGAGCCAGCATCAAAAGTTCATCTGTGCATTACGCCATCAAGAGAAGAGGAATAGCTGCAATTGCTGGGGCTGGATTGAGCAGCCAGAGGATCCAAGTGAATCCCACTGGCTTGTGGCAGAGTTCCTTATCCACAGGAGGGGGACAGCAGCACTCCTGGAGTTCAAGACCCCTCACAGGTCTTCAAGCACAGATGAGAACCAGGGAGGGAAAAGATAGCCAAAGGAATCAGGGGCAGCTCCCAGAGCATCCCTACACCACAGCCCCTGCTGGAGGGCAGGATCCACCCATCCTCAGGCCCAGGTGGCCTCGATGCAATGTGCAGGCACACAAGAAGATGACACAACCATTACTAACAGTGCCAGGAGAGATGCTTTAGCCAGAAGTGATCGATACCTTTCCACACAGCTTTTGGCACTCAGCACAAACAAAGCAGGCAGGTAACTGGAACCCAGCTGTAAGCTGTATTTCCCAACTGGGAATCTGGGGAAGAGCTCCAGAACCCCACAGAAGGTGATCAATTCAGTGTACCTTAGACTGCTGGGCAAGGCTTTGCAAAGCACCAAGGTTATTTTCATGGTCACAAAGCTGGTGAAGGCTGACAATGCCCAGACTGAATGGGCTAACACCCCTTCAGCCTTGGGACTGCGCTGCTGTGGTAGAAGGCAAGATCCAACTGATTTATAGATGCTTTGAGAGCAATGGGCAGCTTTACTTGGGGATCTCTCCTGTCCTTCATGCATCTACACAAAGCAATTCCTCCAAATGAGCTGTTAACTGTGATTTGGAGCACTGGAATTCCCAGGACAGCACACTGCACTGGCACTGGCACTGGGCACAGACACAACCTGCCCTTCAGCAATGCCCTCAGCTCCTTTTCCTATATGGCACCTCACTGCATAAAGCACCTTGCTTGAAACCTCAGCACACAATGGCACTGTGCTTCTGGCATCATCAGGACATTACTTCAGCTCCCATAAGCTTTACACAGCTCTCCTACCAAGCCTGGAGGATGCTAATGTGAAACTGTTCAGGTCTGGCTACACCAAACCCAAGCTATACCCCTACATTCCTCAGCATCTGGGGAGAGGGGAGAGGCTCAGGTTTTCTTTATATTCCAAGTGAATAGGAAATTCTTTACATTCCAGATCTGTATGAGAGTCCTGCTTCTAATGAAGTTTCACTGCACTTCTCTTTCAAAGCAGAGAATCACAATCAACCTGAGCTGGCATCTTTCCATCACTCAGGACTGATAAATTATGAGGAAGTCTGGATCTGGCCACTGTTGCATCTCACCACAGTAGAGCTGGTTTGTTCCAGCTAATGGTGCTGCTCTGCTGACTTCCAACCAGGCTGGGGAGCATAAATTGCTGCAGTTTATTCCCATCCAGCTGACATTCCCGCCATGCCATCACTCACAAGCAGGGATGTGAACATTAGACGTGTAACCCACCACCCCAGACAGCCTCAGTCCTCAGAGGGGAGTTGGTGCAGAGGAGACTTCCCACTTCAAGACTCAACGCTGGCAGCAAGAGCCCCAGACCCAAACTGATGGCCTAGAGAGGTGGGTAACACTTTAATTTCTAACAATAATCGTGTTCTCTCGTTACTTGAGAGCTTTGCAGGGGTGGGGAGGAGAGGCAGGGATGTGATTTTTGATTTCAGAGAGCAGCGTTCCCCTTTCTGGCACACTGTGCCCTGCTCTTACCTGTGGGCTCACAAGGGTGGCCAGTTGAGCATCCCAGCAAACCAGGAGCTCTTACCCCAAAGCTCAGTCCTCCTGCCTGTATGAGCGTCTCCTGCCCTCACACCAAGGAAACCCAGGACCTGTGGTTTCCAAAGCAAGAGACTCCACTGCCAACCAGACTGCATCCGGCTCTACAGCACGTGTACATGGGGTGAAGCCATGAGCTTTGCCCCCTTTAACATCCAGCTTTATTAACAAGGCACTTTGCAAGCAGCCAACCCACCAATACTTCATTTAGTACCTTGGGCTGAGAGAAGAGGCAAGTGGTCCACAAGACACTCAGCTGAATGGGGGCTCAGGTGTTGATCAGCTGGGCTCCACAGCCACCTCCTAAACATGGCTCACAGGCAGGTTAAAAACAAAAGAGAAGGAATAGAGATGCTACAGAACCAGAGAATATAATGCATCTTCTCAGTGAGAGTCTTTCCATAGCACTGGGAACTGTGCAGAGTGGAGGGTATGGTGCTGGCTTTCATTAGATAAACTTTTAACTGTAGAAAACCTTGTCACAAGAGGGGAACAAAGAGAGTATGATCAGAAAACCTCTCCACCAGCTGGAAACAGGAGCAGGTATGTACTAGCATGAAATGCAACATGGGGCGAGAAAAATGAGTCCTGCCTTACTTTTCTAATAAGATGGCATTAAAATCTAAGAGTTTGGGTGTTGCACATCTATGGTTACAGAGCTAGAGCTCTGATCGATATTGGGTCAGGTGCAGACTAAATCAAGGCTGGCTTTCTAGGTTGCTTTTGGGTGGAAATGAACATCCTTGCTTTAGCGATGCCCTGTGCTGCCTGACAGGTCTGTGGATTTGTATGACACCAGCTGCTTCCATATCAAATGCTGTCCATGTAGTTAAAATTAGCCTGGTCTCATCTCCTGGGGGGGTCTGGCTGTGCAGCCCCCATCCTCCTATGTGGGCTCCCCAGGGATGAGGAGTTCACTGCTCGGCACAAGCCAGGCACACGGTACCCTGTGGAACCCGAATGCCACAGCCATTCATTGAAACTCACCTTTTGTCCTCCTTGGGCACGGGGTATGGCACATCCACTGTCATACGAGGTGTTTGTGAGAGCTTAAACACTCCAGTGTCGATGCTTCCTACAGACAGAAAACCATTAGACCAGGAGCACTTTTGGTTTTCATTCAAGGAACATCCATGCAAGATATTTAACAGCATGCAACGCTTTGTGCCAGCTCAGGTTTCTATGAAATGGCTTGGGGGTTGTAAAATTATTTCTCCAGAAAAAAAGCTTCTTTGGACTGTACAGCAATGGCTTAATTCAGGCAATTTGAATAGCGATGGGTTTGGGAATTGGCACTTTTAACTGCTTCATAATCCACACCTTAGTTCTACAAACATGCCTCTAAACTACAGTGTTCAGCGATATCCTGGTTATTTGCACTTTCTGTGCATGATTTATGCTCTGTGTAAGAGTTCTGAGGCTGGAACAGCTTTTATGCCATGGTTTACAGTGCAACAGGTAGGTCCCTGTTTTGGGCTTCTTGGCGATACTGCAGCACTCGCAATGGGATGAGACCCTGAGGCCAGCCCACCCCACGGCACTGCAGGCTGTGGTGCAGATGGCGAGCAGCGGCTGCCCGCGTAGGTTCATGTGCCCACCACAAACCCCTTAGTGCTGCTGTGGCACCTCCAGGAAGGTGCCTCTGGTCAGATCCTCACATTGGATTTGAACTCTCTGTGTTCAGCTCCACCAGCACTGCTCACCCACTGACTCAGCCCCACTCTGGAAGCACTGGCATTGCCTTTGCTGGTGGCCTGGCACACTGGAGCCCGGGCAGAGCCCCCAGCCGTGATTCCCTATAGACACGTGCTCAGCGTGAACAGTGCTGGTGGAGCTGAACACAGAGAAGGTTTTTAGGGCAGAAATCACTGTGGGCACAGATGTGAGGTGATGAAGTGCAGCTGTGGGTAGCCTGGAGGATTGAGTGCTGGTGTTCCATGCACGGGCTCCCTGCCTGGGGCACAGGCTGGAAGCAGCACTTATGGCACTAGAGATCAGACACGGTGCATGAAACTCGGTCACTCACCTCCATTGTCACTGCAGCCCTCTCATTGCACAAGAGCACGGGCAGCACGGCGGCCTCACGAGCAGTGGGAAGAGAGGATAAGCAGGCTCAGGAGCTTTGATTCATCTCTGGATCCTCCTGCTTTGGTGACAACAGGTTTATAAGGCAGAAGCATCAGACCACCAGCCAGGACATGCTGTGGGATAACCACCCAAAACACACCTGTGAGGCAGGAGATGACAGAAGTTATAGCACATGCTGCTTTGTGTAGCACTTCAGAGAAAAAGACTATGCAGATTCCTTCGTACTGCTATCAGCCTGCAGATATCCCATTGGAATGTGCTCCCACCTGAGGATATACTTTATTCCTATTCAAAACAATTTAAATCAGCTAAGTCAAAGCAGGAGGCTCTGAGACACAAAAGGCTCTTCGTCCATTCTGGGGACACCTGGTATAGTAAAGTCATCCCGTGCTACACTTCACAAAGAAGGGGGGACACAAGTGACAGGTCTGGGCTGGGGACAGCAGAGCTCAGAACACGCTGTGTTCTGCAGGAAGCGCCAATGGAACAGTACAGCCACGGACTGCAGAAGCAGCAAGTCATCACTGGAGCATGGATAGCAAAGCCGTGAGTCACACACAGTTACACACTGGCCACACAATTCCAGCCTTCTCCCAAGGGGGGAGTGACATATCCACCTCCTGGGAAGGTGTGCCAGTATGAAGGATGGAGCTGGCTAGACTGGCTCCATTAACCTAATCCTCTTTGTGACTCACCGGAGAGTTATCGCTGTATTCAATGGTGGAGAGGTTAACATACCTGCTGGCTGGAGAGCTGGGATACTCTCTACTTCAAAGGGAAAAACATGGGTTGTATTTATGTATTAAGGGTGATGCTGTTTCATTATTCACTGCAGGTATCCATGGAGGAATGGGGATAGCATCCTCCAGCAGTCTGCAGTGAAAGGGAGAGCAGGAAGTTGATTCCTCCCCTCCTCGTCCTCAGCTGGGCTCATGCAGACAGGAGGGGAACTGATCAGGCACACGACACACAGCTTTGTACTAAACCTGAGCAGCTCCACACTGCCCCAGTGCACCAGCTCTCCATGCAAGCACTGACAACACAGAGTCCTTAGCAAATAGTAATCCAGAGCCTGTAGCTGTTTCCCCAGAGCTTACAGGAAATAACTTTGTCTAGCTTTGACACTACACAGCGTCCCAAGTGCAGAAATAGCCATTCCCAGGTTCTTCCCATAGCACTGAGCACTTGTCCTCAGGATCCACCCAAAGGACATTCAGCCTCCACCAAACACAGCCCCTGGGATGTGCAATGGGAACACCAAAGGCACACAGAGCACGAGCAGCAGAAAGCAGGCAGGTGCCTTAGGATGCCCACATACACTACTGCCTTTACTCACATCTGCACGTACTCTACTTCCATGGCACCAGGGCCATCACACATTGCACTCCCTGCACAGTCTTCACGTGTCAGGCAGTCTGGGCTCAAAATCCTTCCACGTTCCTGTAATGCTCTGGCATGCAAAGAAGTGGGGTAGGGTTGGGGTTTTTTATAGGGAAGGAAGCAAATGATCCCTGTTTGACATGAATCTACCCACTTTAACAAGTATGGAGCCTCATGGTTTTAAGTGGAAGCTTAGCATCTCTTAAAATAAGCTCTAGGCGTCTTTTAATGTCGGTGCTCAAAAAGGGATTTAGGTCACTTGGTTCTAGGAACTCCAGTTTGACTCAAGTATCAGTCGGCGCTTCAGCTGTTATCCAAATAAGGGGAGGGAAAGCCAGGATTTTCCAGCCCTGAGAAACAGCTGTGCTCCAAAGAGGCATGTAAGAGGAGGGATAAAATTCATTCCCTCTCAGCCCTTGCTTGTGAGCCATTCCCAGCCATCGGATGGACAGCCCTGCTCTCCCACATGGAGAGGACCCCACTAGGCGGCCCCAGAGCCACACCAGGAGGTACTCTGGGCTGGATCAGAGACCTTCAAGGCAATCAAAAGGTGATTTGAAGGGAGAGGCTCTGCAGCCCCATCTCCTCACACTGCACTTGGAGAGGGATGTGTACCATGAGCAAAACCACCCTGAGTACATGCACCCCTTCATGCTGCCCGCGGACACCAACGTCCCGCAGACCTTATGGCCATGAGAGGCACACACGGGGTGTGTTTGCAGATGCTCAACATCCCATCAGGGACGTGCCTTAAATAATTCCAAGATTAGGTTTCTATCGTGCTTTTTCCTATATTAAAGCTACTGTTGCCCAAACGTCATCATACTCACATCACAGAATCCCAGACTGGTTTGGGTTGGAAGGAAGCTTAAAGCCCATCCAGTTCCAACCCCTGCCACAGGCAGGGACACCTTCCACTAGAGCAGCTTGCTCCAAGCCCCTGTGTCCAACCTGGCCTTGAACACTGCCAGGGATGGGGCAGCCACAGCTTCTCTGGGCACCCTGTGCCAGCGCCTCAGCACCCTCACAGGGAAGAGCTTCTGCCTAAGAGCTCATCTCAGTCTCCCCTCTGGCAGGTTAAAGCCATTCCCCTTGGCCTGTCCCTACAGGCCCTTGTCCAAAGCCCCTCTCCAGGTTTCCTGCAGCCCCTTTAGGCACTGGAGCTGCTCTCAGGTCTCCCCTTCAGGAGCCTTCTCTTCTCCAGGCTGACCCAGCCCAGCTCTCTCAGCCTGGCTCCAGAGCAGAGCTGCTCCAGCCCACTGATCACTGATGCTCTTTTCCTTGCCACATTCTGCTCAGTGCAATGCATGAACTCATCTTAAGCTTACAAAGACTTTCAAGCACGAAGCACAGGATGCACATTTCAGCAGTGTGCTGTTCTCTGTGCTTCAGAGCCTTTGTTAATCCCAGAGGGAGCCTGTCCTTGGAAAGCCAGTGCTCCTTTCTGGCCTTCCTGAACAGTACGTATGGAAACACCCCCAAGAGCGTCATACACAATTCTTGAGATGCAAACCCAATATCCTCCCTGCTCCATGGGAGGCATTGAAAACCTAATCCATAGAAAAAGAGCCTTTGAAATAGTTTATTTCAATGCTACATGTTCTGAAAATACAAGACAAAAGACTGTCAGCAAGCCTCAAACCCAATCAGAACTCCGCATTTCTATTAATGCCTTATCAATGGCTACAATAACCTCTTCCAGCTATTTGCTTGTTTGCTGTATTTTATTATGCCTCAGCTGCTGCAAACCTGCCCTTTTCCCCTCTCAAAGAACACTCATTTGAGGAAATCACTGCACGGTTGGAAAGCATCACACTTTTCCCTGCAATCCAAGCGGTCACCTCGGGACCCTTGGTGTGTGGGAAGAGAAATGAAATCACACTCTTCTCACCTCCTACAGAAACCCTGTTATTCACACCCCAGGAGCAAACAGAAGCCACTTTCAACTCACACGTTCCCATCACCAAGGAACTCACAACTAGAAAGCTTGCTGCTGAAGTGGTGATAATTTCCCCCTTTAGCCATATGGCATAGAAGAAATAGAGCTCGAGACAGAGCCCACTGCCTTTGGGAGAGCCTCATTCTTTGCAGTCTTACGCTCAGATCACTGTTAAGCTGCACAGGGTAGTGGCACAAGATATGCAAGTGTCTAGCATCCACTCCCAAAGCTTGAACACCCCTATGAAAATGAGTAACACCATCAGGTACACGCAGATGGCTTGCAAAATGCATTGCTTTCCAACTGACTGAAAGTTATGTTCATACATCTATTTGAGCCTCTTTTCTAATGCTGGTACATGAACATGATGATGCAGTCTAAGTCTGCCCCACTTCCAAGTGTAAATTTTAGCATGTTCTCCTCCACCCTAAGCGCACTCTTTACAATGCAGTGTATTTGAGATGCAGCAGATGCTCATTTGGTTCCTAAAACAGATTTAATAGCTTTTCCATGATCTAAACACCTGGCAAAGGGACTCCACGCAGCTTTAATACTTTCCTAACCCTGTGTTAAATTTGGCCTAGTGTTGCCTATAGCATAATTCTGCAGCCATGTCAACTATTCAGGTAATGCTAGAATGTCATCATTATGGTCTGTGTCAACAGCGTGATCTGTATGTACCTTGTAATCATTCTGGTGTTGGGTTGCAAAGGTCCTTGGGCTCTTCATTTGGCTGAGTCTAATTCTGTCCCCTTCACAAAGATCTAGAGTTACACTAAGTAAAGGTTGACATTTACACGAGACACTAGGACTGCTAAAATGACTCACCAAGGTAAAACCTTGGCTACATGTTCTTTCAAGGGCATAAACTGTGCAGTGCCAACATTTCATAGAACCCCAGGCTGATCTGGGTTGAAGGGACCTGAAAGCCCATCCAGTTCCAACCCCTGCCACGGGCAGGGACACCTTCCACTAGAGCAGCTTGCTCCAAGCCCCTGTGTCCAACCTGGCCTTGAACACTGCCAGGGATGGGGCAGCCACAGCTTCTCTGGGCATGCTGGTGGAGTGAGTCACTACTCTCATATGAAGAGGATCTGCTGACCTGTAGTAGAAAGCTCTGTGCTTAGCAAGGCAAACCCAGAGAGAGGAGCACGTCATGCGTGGAGCTTGGCAGGACTCGGGAGTCTGCAAACAGATGGTTGAAGAAGCCTGGAGCATCAGTCATCACTAAAGAAAAGGAGACGTGTCAGAGGGAAACCAGTGACCTTTCAGAGTCTTCCTGGAACCTGAGTGACCTTCTCTCATTTTTACTGCTGAGTTGGACAGCCACAGACACAGCCTCACACACAAGACAGCTTTGCACTGGCACAGAAGCCCACGACTTCAATCAGATGTAACCAGTCAGTAGTAGCAGGGCTGGTCAGCATTGCAGCCCGTGTCCAAATGCCCTCAGTGCATTTACTCTCTCAAATTCACTCTGCCCTTTAAAGCGGCACCAGGCACCACATTCAGCACACCTGAAAGTCTCCTGGTTTATTGCGTTTCCTCAGCTCCAATGTTGTTAAGTCTCAATCAAAACCAGAAAACTCAGACTAAACCAGTGACTGTTCTGGTGATGAAGCTTATAACCCTTTTATCTATTCCCATGAACTCTCCTTTACCCAAATCCAATATCAGCAGTGAAAGCATCCAACACATTCACAAGAAGCAAACTGTGAAGTGGAAGGACCAGATGAGAACACAGCATCAAACATAAACTGTGCATGTGAAGGATGTTTTCTACAATCCAGGGTGCTGCAAGCAATGTGGGTTTCAAGGAT